AATGTTTGAGCTCTCAGTAAGATGTTCGGTTGCTCATAAGGTGATCAGTGAGGGAGTTAACAGATGACAGTTTCAAGAAAATTGTGAGGTGCACTTGCATATTTTCATTTTTAAATGTTCACTATTACAGTAGGTATTTTGAGAATGATACTATTGAGCTTCCTTTTCAATGGTGGTAGGAAAAAAATGTTTTAACTCCAAGTTATTTTATGTAGGATAAATTACATTCTTTTTTTCTTCACAGCACCAATGGAACCGTGATTAACAAGGTGAAGGTTGTTAGGAAGCAGACTTGTCCTTTACATACTGGAGATGTCATCTACTTGGTGTACAGGAAGAATGAGCCAGAACACAGTAAGGGAGGGGAGGCCCCCGGGTCCAACATGGAGGTGGGTGGTGTGCTGCGAGGACGCCTACTAGGGCTGGGAAGCATCTTCAGAAAGAGTCTGTGTGTTTCTAGTTTTGCTGTAGAGTTGTGTGCTCAGCAGAGAGAGAGCGAGAAGGTGAGGTATCACTCCCTGGGGGAGTGACCACACCACAATTGCTTCTCCGTTCTCCTCTCAGGACCTCGGGCCTGCACATGCATGCACCTAGTATATCTTTCAAGCTGGGTCTAGGACTTGAACCGCATGGTCATCCTGTGGGATCCAAGCTGCCTTAGCCACCACACCACTAGCTGACAACAGAAAGAATCTGTTAAAGCAGGCGTTTTCTGCAGGATGTTGTTAACTAAGTTGTCTTTATTGTTGATGTCGATTTTTGGTGTAGATGGCATCTGTCGACTTGACAGTTTGAGCCTTGGCCACTCTTCAGGAGTGCCTGTGGCCATGAGTATCTTTTAGGAGAAATGAATGGAGAGGGATAGAAAGACTCGAGTTGTAGAGAATAAAACCTCGGGATAGGAGCCCTGGGGGCTTTTGGTGGTTTCACTTTCTGAGACTTTACAAGAGATAGCAAAGGTTAGACAGGGTTTCAATAGGATTTCTCCAGCTCCAGGAGTCTCTGATGATGTTTGTGGAAGAAGGATGGTGAGCTATGGGAGTTCTGAGTTGCTTAAAGGACCATCAAGGGTAAGGAAGGGGATGAAAGGGAATATTCCTCAGGTGATCTTTGTGTAGAGTCACCTCCTTGTCACACAGAGAATGAAGGCCTAGACTCTTCACCTTAGTCCACTTCCTGATGCCAGACATTTTCCTAAAGCTTATTTGTCTTAAAGTTGGTAAAGATCTTTTGGATCACTTGTTTTGAAATCTCTTAAATTGGGCTGGCCTCATGGCGTAGTGGTTAAGAGAACCAGGTCCTACATGGCTGACCATGACTTGAGTCTTTTAGGAAAATAAATGGAGAGGGATAGAAGGATTTGAGTTGTGGAGAATAAAGGAGCCCTGGAGGCCTTGGCCTCAGTGTGTTGGAAAATAGACCAGGTGTGTATCCATGCTTGCCTCAGATCCCAGTGGGTGCAGCAGTGGAGGAGAAGGGATTGTAGCGTGACCACGCCCCATTGGCAGATGCTTTCTACCGCCCTCTCTCTGGCGAGCACATGCTCTCTGGCAAGTAAAAAAGAAGGAAATCTCTCTCTTTTTTTCTTGGAGAGGTTTTTGCTATAGGACACATGTGCTCGCCAGAAAGAGAGAGACAGAGTGAGAAATCACCCCCCAAGGGGAATGGCCACACCGCAGTCCCTTCTCCTCCATTCTCCTCTCGGGATCTTGGGCACACAGCATTCACGCCCAGTGTGAGTTTAAGCCACTGGGTCCAGGACTTGAACTGTGGTTGACTACATGTGAGTCCAGCAACATTGCCATTACGCTAACTGCTGGTCCCAGAAGGACATCTCTTAAAGCATTGATGAGTATTGTTTCTAGCTGGTAAGTCAGATAATCAACAGTGACAAATGAGCTGTGAGGTAAGTGGAGGAAAAAGAAGAGAAAAACGAGTCCTTTACTTTCTCATGGGCCACCACTTCTCTGATTTGATTGGTTTCTTCTAGATGTGGCATACCTCTACGAATCTTTGAATGAAAAGCAAGGCATGGCACGAGAATCTTGTGGTAAGTAAAATTATGGCAGAGAAGTAGATGCGTGTTAAGGACTCTCAGGTTCTCTTAAGAAAATAGCTGTTCAGCCCACTGGAATGCCTCACCTGGAGTAGTGCTGTCGCCTAAGTGCTAGTGAATGTCATTGCTCCTCTGTGGTTACAGCTGTTAATCAAGAAAATACACTCCACATGACCAAAGATACCTCAGGTACAGGGCGAGGTGCTGATCCCCAGGTCCCGCCATCATCATCCACCACTCAGGCATGCTTTGAGGAACCACAGCCATCAACATCAACTTCAGACCTCTTCCCCACTGCCTCTGCCTCTTCCAAGGAGCCTGCTCCTGCGGAGCCAGACCATTCCTGCAGCTCTGGTGAGACGGAGATTTCCTGGTTCACATCTTCATATAGCTTTTGTTCATCAGTTCTTACCCGTGTTGTTACAGAGATAGGCTAGCCACTGGAGGGGGGCTGAAGCTCTCAGCAGGGAGATTTCTTTTTCTTTTTAAAATAATTATAATGAAAAGCAAGGCATGGCACGAGAATCTTGTGGTAAGTAAAATTATGGCAGAGAAGTAGATGCGTGTTAAGGACTCTCAGGTTCTCTTAAGAAAATAGCTGTTCAGCCCACTGGAATGCCTCACCTGGAGTAGTGCTGTCGCCTAAGTGCTAGTGAATGTCATTGCTCCTCTGTGGTTACAGCTGTTAATCAAGAAAATACACTCCACATGACCAAAGATACCTCAGGTACAGGGCGAGGTGCTGATCCCCAGGTCCCGCCATCATCATCCACCACTCAGGCATGCTTTGAGGAACCACAGCCATCAACATCAACTTCAGACCTCTTCCCCACTGCCTCTGCCTCTTCCAAGGAGCCTGCTCCTGCGGAGCCAGACCATTCCTGCAGCTCTGGTGAGACGGAGATTTCCTGGTTCACATCTTCATATAGCTTTTGTTCATCAGTTCTTACCCGTGTTGTTACAGAGATAGGCTAGCCACTGGAGGGTGGCTGAAGCTCTCAGCAGTGAGATTTCTTTTTCTTTTTAAAATAATTATTTTATTTTTTATTTATTCATTCATTTATTTTTTAATTTGATCAGAGAGAGACAGAGGGTGAGAGTGAGAGAGAGAGGAAGTGAGAAAGCAAGCCACCAGATTCAGGACTTGAACCCCAGTTGGCCATGTGGGAGTGTCCAGCACCTTAACCACCACGCCACCTGCTGGTTCCCTCAGCAGCGAGATTTCTGTAGACATAAATATTGACTAGGACTGGCTCTGTGACCTGACTGAGGTCACCAGACCCCACATGGATGAACCTGTGGCTCAAGTCTAGGAACTGACAGCTTGAAAAACACATCGGGCTCGTGTGTGTGCATGCCCAGGTCCCGACCAGGTAGAGAAGTGGGGGAAAGGGTTGTAGCGTGACCGCCCATGAGAGCACTTTCTCCTCTCCCTTTCTATTTATCCCTGAGGAGTGTCTGCGCCCTCTGGCAAAGCTTTTTAAAATAAGGAGAAAAATAAGTAAATACTGACTTTTTGTTACATCCCCAAGAAATGCTGAAGGTCAAGGATTATAATACAGTAGTATTTCTTATGGTTTTACTGAGCTGTGCCACAAATAAACCCTAACACAGCCAGTCAAAGGGCACGCTGCAGCAGCTTTTACTGTACTCACAATATGGTGCAGCCTTCACTGTGATCCCAGAATGTCTTCGCCACCTCAGTAGGAAGGCCATCCCCTGAGCATCCACTCCCCATCTCCCTCCCCAGCCTTAGTAATCATGTCTGTTTTCTGTCTCTCTGGTTTTACGTGTTTTGGACATTTCCCATACAGAGTGAAATGTATATATGACTATACAGTATGTGGTCCTATGTAATTGGCCTCTTGGTGTAATGTTTTCGAAGTTTAGACCAGTATGCTGTCTGAAACCAGTGTTATGTAGATTTCTTTTTTTTTTTTTTTACTATAGGGCACATATGCTCGCCAGAAAGACAGAGAAAGAGAGAAGAAAGTGAGAAATCACCCCCCAGGGGGGATGGCCACGCCACAATCCCTTCTCTTCCATTCTCCTCTCGATTCACGTCCCGACCCAGTGGTTTAAAACTCAGGCTGGGTTGGACCAGCAATTAGCGTAATGGCTACGTCACTGGACTCCCATGTAGTCAACCGCGGTTCGAGTCCCAGACCCAGTGGCTTAAACTCACACCGGGTATGTGTGCATGCGTGCCCAAGATCCCAGGAGGAGCATGGATGAGAAGGGATTGCAGCATGGCCATTCCCCCTGGGGGGTGATTTCTCACTTTCTGTCTCTCTGTCTCTCTCTGTCTGTCTGGTGAGTGCACACGCTCAATAGCAAAAACCCTCTAAAAAAAAAAAAAATGAGCAGTAAGATTTTGTTATTGTTTCAGAATGAATTGAGTAATTCCTCTAAAAGGGCAATGCATTCATGTCATACAGTGTAATGTCTTAAAATGAGCAATTTTTCTGTCTGTATGTCTAAATGTGTACATATTAGTAAAGAAACTATAGCCAATACCGAGCACCTAGTCTATGAGATAGCAGGCCGAGTGCTTTTCTTTTTTTTTTTTTGGAGAAGTTTTTGCTATAGGACGCTTGCGTTTGCCAGAAAGACACAGAATGTGAGAAATCACCCCCCAGGGGGGATGGCCACACTGCAATCCCTTCTCCTCCATTCTCCTCTCGGGATCTTGGGCACACACGCGCACATGCCCAACGTGAGTTTTATCTATTTATGTATTTATTTATTATTTATTTTTTATTTTTTTGGAAAGGTTTTCGCTATAGGGTGCGTGCGCTCGCCAGACAGACAGAGAGAGACAGAGAGACAGAAAGTGAGAAATCACCCCCCATGGGGGATGGTCATGCCGCAATCCCTTCTCCGTTCTCCTCTTAGGATCTTGGGCATGCACGCACACGCGCCCAGCGTGATTTTTAAGCCACTGGGTCCGGGACGCGAACCGCGGTCGACTACGTGGGAGTCCAGTGACATAGCCATTACGCCAACTTCTGGTCCCAGGCCAATTTCTTTGTTTGTTTCTCAAATAATATTTGCCATTTGAATACCATGAACTAGGTATGTACTGTAGCATAAACTGGATGAGGTTTTTGTTTCTGTTCCATTTTGTTTTTTGCAAGAAGGCACCTGAGCTCACAGTGGAAGTGCGGAGAAAGAGAGCACCGCCCTTGAAGCACGGTCATACTGCAATCCCTTCTCCTCTGTCTCTTCTTCCTTTCAGGATTTTGGGCATGCATGCACACACACCTGGCATATTTTTCAAGCTGCCGTGTCAAGGACTCAAACTGCACAGTTGTCTCTGTAGGATCCAGCTGCCTTAACCACAAGCTGGCCCTAAACTAGGTCTTTATTAAGAGAGGTTATTGGAAAGTTTACCAAGGTCATGCCAGTTATTTATGAAGAGCTTCCTGCATTTGTAGACCAGAACTCTCCTACACGTTACTGATCTCCTCCCTCCCTTGATCACGCTTGTTGGGAGCATAGTATTTCTAGCCAGCCGTATGTCTGTCATTCTTGAACCATGACTTCTTGGATTACATACTGCACTTGATTTAAATCAGTGACACTTTACCCAGCATGTTCTCTCATTTGGAGGTGGATGACTCAGAAGCTGTCCTTGTGTCCCTTCTCACAGGGTCCATGGGTGCAGGCATCTCCCTGAAAGGATGTGGTCCACTCGTAGCAAGTGATGAAATGACCAGCTTTTCCTCAACTCTCCCAGACAGAGAGGAGCCATCCTTTTCTTTGCTGGAACACCAGGATCCGGATGATCTGGAGCCCATTAAAAAGAAAATGAGAGGAGGTTCGAGTCTCATGTCCTTGCCCTCTGTGAATGCTCAGGAGCACATCCTGCTGTGGACGATGGTGCTGGGTGCGATGGTAGACACTGGCCAGTTTGGGTCTTTCTTCTCTGCAGAACCATGTGGATTCTATATCTGGGTGATTTCTAGCACCTCGTTATTTTCTGAGTGAAAATTCAGTCCTTTTCCCTCGTTTTGCATAATCTGGATAGAACTGTGTTGCCACCGGGCTATGGTCTTAGTCTGGAAACAAAGCATTCTGAATGACAAGATTGATGTAAAGGGCCTCTGTCCTGATAGGAGAGTAATTTCTGAAAACTTGTTGCCTTTACGTGATAGTTTGAACCATCACATGATGATTTAGGAAAAATCTACTCTGTTGTCAAATTTGTGTTGCCGGAGGCTGGGTGCATTTGCCAGAGAGCGAGTGAGTGCTCCCCACAGTGGTGTGTAGTCATGCCACGGTCTCCCCTCCTCCACTCCTCCATCCTGTCAGGGCTCGGTTCTGAGCATGAACACATGTGCGCCTGGCATGCTGTCTGAGCCCCAAGGGCCGGGACTAAGTCATGGCCGCCCATGTGTGGTCTGGCTCCCAATTAACAGTGCTAACCACTGCACCGTGCGGCCTGCCTGAAGCCTACTCCTTGAAAGTAGAAGTTTGAAAGATTATGGAATATACTTGGAGATGTCATTGTAAAAAGATAGTTGTGCAGCGGGCAGTGGTGTCGCAAGTGGAGCTGATTGGCTTAGGGAGAGTGTGGGAAGAATCAGCAAATCATTACATGGAAAAAGTAAGCGAGAGTGAGAATGGAGCTATTTTTGTATTTATTTATTTGAGTTTGTTATAGACCACATGCAGTCTCCAGAGAGAGAAAGAGAGACTACATTCGGGGCGAAGGATGGGGCGGTGACCATGCTGCAGTCCCTTCTCCATTCTTTTCGGATTTTTGGGTGCATGTTTTTCAAGCCACTGGGTCTGGGATTTGAACCACATGGTCGGCAATGTGGAATCCAGTGACCTTAACCACCACACCACTGGCTGGCCCAAATTGAGGCACTTTTTAACTCCAGCAAAAATGAAAAATTTGTGAGGCTAGCAGGTGGCATGGTGGTTAAGGCACTGGACAGTCCCACATGGCCCACCAGGGTTCAAGTCCCAGACCTGGTGGCTTGCTTTCTTGCTTTCCCTCACTCTTGGGTCTTTCTCTGGTCAAATTAAAATAACTGAATGAATAAATAAAATTAAATAAATAATTCTTTAAAAAATGAAAAATTGTATAAGGGAGAAAACTTAATTATAGTGTACCACTTGGTTCAGGAACGAATACTTATATAAGCACAATAGTGTGAATGACTAATGAAACACTGTGCTATAGTGATGCTGGGAAGGGGGTCTCAGGGTCATCTCAGCTTAATCGAAGTCAAGAGATGATGTCCAAAACTGATAAACCACATGTGGCATGGAGGTTTAGACACGCAAGGGTGCTGGGAGCGACAGCTAAATGCCATGAAAGTACTTAACTCAAGAGGGATGTGGAAGTGAGGAGAGGCTGACCAGAGGATAGCTGCCTTCTTTTTCTTCTAAACATTTGATTTTAGATCATACCCAAGAGCAGTAGTTTAACTAAAAACAAAAAATAATCTACACAACATATGAGCACTCCAGAAAAATATCACACAAAAGAAAAAAAATGTAAGGCTAATGGTGACATCATAAAGGCTTTGCCTTTCAACACTTTCTTGTGTTTACCTGAGTCACAGCTTTTTGTTTTTTCTTTTTTTGGGGAGGTTTTTGCTATAGGGCACGTGCGCTCGCCAGAAAGACAGAGACAGAGAGATAGAAAGTGAGAAACCAACCCCCAGAGGGGAATGGCCACGCCACAATCCCTTCTCCATTCACCTCTTGGGATCCTGGGGAGACGCACACACATGCCCGGTGTGAGTTTAAGCCACCAGGTCCAGGACTCAAACCGTGGTCGACTACATGGGAATCCAGCGACATATCCATTACGCTAATTGCTGGTCCTACCTGAGTTACAGTTTTTAACAAAAATGGCTCTATGCCCAGATACTGTTGTTCCAGACATCCCGAGTATCTTTTTAGGTGTCAGTAGCTGTCCTCCTAACGTTTGACTTCAGCATAGTGGAATGTAAGACGCGCCATTACAAGTACAATACATGGTGGGGGCTGTGTGTGCTGCTTCTGGCAGATGACAAAGGCCTAAGGACTTTCTGTGTCTACAGATGAATATTTTTGTTTTAGAAAAAGACTACATTTATTTCCTCTATGGTTATGGCGATGCGTCCCTCTCTTGTGCAGATGGGGAGCTTGACTTGAGCCTGCAGCCATTGGCCACAGACCAGTGTAGGAATGTCCAGACCATCCCTGAGGGGGTCAGAGCTGCGGCTGTGAAGCCAGACAAGATGGAAGAGACACTCACATGCATCATCTGCCAGGACCTGCTGCACGACTGTGTGAGGTGCGCCCGCCAAACCCCGGGTCGGCTTGCAGGGAGCGAACGGCGCTGGGATGAAACAAACCTTAAGGGCCTGTTTGGCATGGAGTCTGCTGAGGTTACCATTTTTACTTTACTTGCATGGACAGCAAGGGAACTTACAGAGCCCAGTGACTGAGGCTGTAGAGCCCCGTGTAACCCAGTGAACCTGGTCTACCTGTAGGCAGGTCAGATGAACCGTCTTGAGTTTTAAGCAGTTGCTAGCTAGAGAAATGCGGTATTTAACATAGTATGGAAGTGCCAGGAGTGGCTAAGGAGGAGTCTCCTTGCCTTCCTGTGGAAACAAGTGAGAACCTGTCTAGCTTTCAGTGTCTCTGTGGCTTTTATCCTTGAAATCACAGTCTACCCTCCCTGACCCTTTGGAAAACACAGAGGCCGTGTGGCTTCTAGTTCTTGTAATTGACCAAGATGGATAGTACCTTTAGGTGGAATGATGAGTGGGCCCACAATCAGCCCCGGTTCAGATCTGGCCTGCCCGGGTGGGTTGCTACGCACTTTCGTCTGAGGGTCCCAGTCACAAACCAGTGCTGCTGAGCATTGGTGGAAGATTCTGTGTGGAGATGCACTCCCCCTCCTGTGCTTGCAGCTTGCAGCCTTGCATGCATACGTTCTGCGCAGCGTGCTACTCTGGATGGATGGAGCGTTCCTCCCTGTGTCCCACCTGTCGCTGCCCGGTGGAGCGGATCTGTAAAAACCACATCCTCAACAACCTCGTGGAAGCATATCTTATCCAGCACCCAGGCAAGTGGGGGCAGCCACCGTGCCCTGTTCTTGGGGTGCTGGGATTGCGAGCTGACTGCTCAGCAGTCTTGACTATGTCCGCCTGGTCATATCCTGCTGCCAGTGAATGGCGCTGTGTCCTTTGACTTCTAGACAAGAGTCGCAGTGAAGAAGATGTGCGAAGTATGGATGCCAGGAATAAAATCACTCAAGACATGTTGCAGCCCAAAGTCAGGAGGTCCTTTTCTGATGAAGAGGGAAGTTCAGAGGACCTGCTGGAGCTGTCCGACGTTGATAGTGAATCTTCAGATGTTAGGTAAAACCTGGGCCTGGCTCAATGGACTTAGGCAGGAGACGTGGTCATGCCACAGTTGACAGCATACTGTTGGGCACACGGTGCCGAGTCCAAGTCCTGGCTCTGCTGTAGCCAAACTCCTTCATGTCCTGAAGTACTTACTCTCAGATACTGGTCAGGAATAACACCTCCCTTGTAAGGCATGGTAACAACGGGGTGGATATTTAGGGTAGCATCCAGCAGGGCACAGCCTTGGGTACCTGTGACGGGGGCAGATCCTCACATCTTCCTCTGACACCTCTGATTTGCCTAGAAAATGCCCCTGGGTCTTGATATTCACTGACCGTGACAAAATGTCATAATTGAATGTCTTGTTTTTATTTCATATAAACATACTTATTTTGTAAGTTTGTTTATCTTTAAAAAGAGACTGACATTTGCCTATAACAGAGTCTCCATACCATGGTCCACCCCCAGTCTCAGCTGGCCTAGATCATGGGGATGTGTGTTCAGTGTTGGCTGGGATTGAACCCAGGACCTTTCAAATGTGGGTCCAGTTACACTACCACTACACTACAGCCCGAGTTCAGAATACTTAGTTCTCTGTAGCTTACAAGGTGACTGTGAAGCTCTGTGCCATAAATTGCAATGCTTACTATTTGTCAGACAGTTACCTGTCTGAGAAGATACAGTTTTAGGAGGCCCCTATTTTATCTGCTGCTATATTGATATTTCCTAACTCTGAAGTCCTGAGGTCCTTTGAACTCTGGGTCAAGGCCATGATACTTAAAAAGATAATAAATAAGGACCAGCAGATGGCTGGTTATGTTGCTGGACTCCCACGTGGCCAAGCGGGTTTGAGTACGGGACCTGGTGTCTTGAAACTCACGCCAGGCGCACATGCATCTGTATGCTCAAGATCCCGAGAGGAGAATGGAGAAGGGATTTCGGTGTGGCCATCCCCCCTAGGGGGTGATTTCTCACTCTCTCTCTCTTTCTCTGTCTCTGACGAGCTCGTGAGTCCAGTAGCAAAAATCTCTGTCAAAAAAGAAGAAGGTAATATATAAAAAGCCCCCAATTTTTATTATCTTTGTTTATTTTTTTAAAGAATTATTTCATTCAACATTATTATTATTCTTTAATTTGATCCAAGAGAGACAGAGAAAGGGAAAGTGAGAAAGCAAGCCACCAGCTCTGGGATGTGAACCGTGGTTGGCCATGTGGGTATCCAGCAACTTTAACCACCACACCACCTACCAGCCCCTATCTTTGTTTATTTCTACAGTATTTAGCAACCAACTGTCTGAGAAAACTCAGATTTATTGTATATATGTCTTGTCATTTTCACGTGTATTCTAACATAGATGCTTTTTTTGTTGTTGTCGGAAGAGATTTTTGCTATAGGGTGCATGTGCTTGCCAGAAAGACAGAGAGAAACAGAGAGACAGAAAGTGAGAAATCTCCCCCCGGGGGCATGGCCGCACCACAATCCCTTCTCCTCCATTCTCCTCCCGGGATCTTGGGCATGCATGCACCCCCACCTGACTCTAGTTCAAGCCACTGGGTCCAGGACTCGAACCATGGTCGACTACATGGGAGTCTAGTGACGTAGCCATTACACCATCTGCTGGTCCCACACATAGATGCGTTTTAAATGAGGTGTAATGGAGTGTACTTTACAATGATGGTACCGTACTGCACGAACAACTCTAGTATGTCCCCAGTGTTTTGAGTCTGGAACAGTGCAGCAGTGCCTGCCCTTAGGTTCTCACTGTGCACGGGTCTGGTAATTTCGTGACAGTGAGTGAGTGGAGCTGTCAGACCAAAGAGTACAACCGGATGGTGCCAGCTGGTGGTGCGGTGCTAAACGAGATGCTCTGAGTCTGGCCCACATTCCTGGGAAGGTTCGGGTCCGGACCCAGACGCCCTCTCTGCGTACACTAGGCGTCTGCTTGCCTGTGCTCTGAGCTGGCTGATGCTGGGGGAAGACTGCATTGTCAGGACTCTGTGGGGCGCCTTCTCTCTGACTCTCTTTCTTCTGGTCTTGTCATTTACAATGAGTAAATAAACTTCAAAATAAGAGGGGGCGGGGGACCAGTAGTTGGTGTAATGGATATGTTGCTGGACTCCCATGTCATCGACCGTGGTTCGATTCCCAGACCCGGTGGCTTGAACTCACGCCAGGAACGTGTGCATGCGTTCGTGCTCAGGTCCCGAGAGGAGAATGGAGGAGAAGGGATTGCAGTGTGGCCATCCCCTGGGGATAATTTCTCGCTGTCTCTCTCTTTCTGGCGAGCGCGTGTTCCCTAGAACAAAAACCTCTCCAAAAAAAAAAGGCATTCAACTGGGAATGGAATCTTGCTAGGCTTCTTTTTTTTTTCCTTCCATGAGAGAGAGAGAGAGCTTATGGCCATGCCATAATACCTTCATTCTCCTCTCGGGATCTTGGGCACGCGCACACATGTGCCCAGCGTGAGTTTTAAGCTGCGGGGTCTGGGACTTGAACTGCGGTCGACTCATGGGAATCCAGTGATGTAGCCATTCCACCCTCTGCTGGTCCCCATTAACTTTTCTTTTCAGGAGCACAGTTGAGCATCTTTTCACTATGTATTGTTTTATCGAGTCAGACCTTTCCCAGGCTTCCCTCGTTGGTTTCTGTCATTGTTGTCAGGCTTAGAAAAACATTCTATGAGATGAAAGAGTCTCGTGTACTTTTTCTTGTGGGTTCTTTTTTTAGTCTTTGGTTTCTCTAATAGTTTTTTTTTTTTTTTTTTTTTTTGAGAGGGTTTTTGTTTAGGGGGGCTGCCCTCATTTTTTTTTTTTTTTTGAGAGGTTTTTGCTATAGGGCGCATGCGCTCACTAGACAGACAGAGAGACAGCGAAGAAATCACCCCCCAGGGGGCATGGCCATGCCGCATTCCCTTCTCTTCTGTTCTCTTCTCGGGATCTTGGGCACGCATGCACATGTCCCCAGCGTGAGGGTTTCTGTAATAGTTTTCAAAAGTATGGATGAAATGAAGTATAGGCAATGATCTAGGGAGCTGAGGGCCCTGGCGGTGAGTGGTTCAGGGCTGAACCCCTGGAGGTAACTGCAGGGCAGACAGCATCCCACCGTCGTACTCTGCTCTGGCTCTGAAGAGGGAGACAGGCCGCCTGTCCTGAGGGGCACAGGAGCAAGCCCAGTCTGGTCCCAGCCTCAGAGCCTGAGAGCACACATCCTGCAGGGTGAGAGGGTAGCCTCAAAGGGGAGCGTGCTGAAGGGAGGGGGTGAGCAGGCGGCACTTGGCAGCTGGTGGGTACAGAGTGGCCAGCACGTGGGTGGGACTACCCTTACTTTCAGACTCCTATTCTGGTGGGCGGGCAGTGTATGTTCCTTCAGCAGCAGGGCGCTGGGAGGGCGCACTGGAGAGATGGTGAAGGTGAGTGGGCACATAGTGAGGCCAGCAGGGTACGGGGCCTAGCACTGAGGTGATGTTCTGTGCTCCGTCCCTACAGCCAGCCCTACGTCGTGTGCAGACAGTGCCCCACGTACAGAAGACAGGCAGTGCAGGCTGCTCCCCGCCCAGTACCCAGCAGCGAGCCGGGTCCCCTGCAGGCCCTCGGGGACGCACCTTCAACATCTGCCACCTTCAGCACAGGTGAGGCAACTGCGCCTCCCCACAGGCTTCACTTCCATCACGTGGCTTCCTTGCTATGACACGTGGGTGGCATGGGTGTGGCCAGTCCTCTGCTCCTGCACCTCATGCTGAGCCTCTGTCACCTGACTCAGTGATACCACCACCTCTTGCAGCTTATTGGAGACAGAAAGTGAGAAATCACACCGGGGGGGTGGCCACACCACAATCCCTTTTCCTCCATTCTCCTCTTGGGATCTTGGGCACGCACGCACACATGCCCAGCGTGAGTTTAAGCCACTGGGTCCGGGACTCAAACCACAGTCGACTACATGGGAGTCCAGCAATAGCCATTACGCCATCTGCTGGTCTCCCTTATTGTTTTCATAATTGGCAGTGGGCTAAGAAACTGTGACTCCTCCTTCCTGGATGCTTCTGGGATTGGACAGCCCTGGTCCCAACCCTTGATCTCTCCCCTGGCCTGCTGCTGTGGTCGGGGGTGTCTCTAGTGAGGTCTTTGTATCACCCCTCGTTGGGAGCCTGGCCTCTCCCCAGCACTGGGTGGTAGTGTCCAGAGCTCCACGGGGCTCCACAGTTGTAGCTGGCTGTTTCCAGTGGGCAGGTCCCCCGATGCCATCGAACAGGTCGGAGGAGAGCTGCCATTGACGAGTGAAATCTGTAGCTCTCGGTCCCATACACGCTGACTCTGAGCTGCTGACTGACCTGAGTACATCTCAAGACCACCAGACTACAGCAGCAACTCAACCATTGTTTCTAAAGGAATTACTTTATGTTGGGGCTGGCAGGTAGCGTGGTGGTTGAGGGCGCTGGGTTCCCACATGGCCAACTACAGTTTGAGTCCCGGACCTGGTGGCTTGCTTTCTCGCTTTCCCTTTCTCTCTCTCTCTGTCTCTGTCTCTGGTCAAATTAAAAAATGATAGTAATAATAATATATGGAGGACCAGCAGATGGCATAATGGCTATGTTGCTGAACTCCCATGTAGTTGACTGTGCTTTTGAGTCCTGGACCTGGTGGCTTAAACTCACGCCGGCATGTATGCGTGCGTGCCCAAGATCCCAAGAAGAGAATAGAGAAGAAGGGATTGCAGCGTGGCCATCCCCCATGGGGATGATTTCTTGCTTTCTGTCTCTCTGTGTTTCTGGCGAGTGCACACACCCTATAGCAAAAACCTCTCCAAAATTAAAAAATAAAAACAAAATAACAAATGGAATTAAATTAATAAATAATTCTTATAAAAGAATTACTTTATTTTGTTTATCATCATTAATATTATTATTTTAAAACTTGACTAGAGGGAGACAGAGAGGAAGAAAGTGAGAAAGCAAGCTGCCAGATCCAGGACTCAAACTGCAATGAGCCATGTGAGAGTCCACTGCCCTAATCACTATGTCACCTGCCAGACCCTCATCTGCATTCATTCATTCATTCATTTATTTATTGAGTTTTTTTCTATAGGGCATGTATGCTCACTGGAAATACAGAGAGAGAAAGTGAGAAGTCACCCCCTAGAAAGAATAGCTCTGCTGCAATCCCTCCTCCATCCTTCCTTCAGGACTTTGGGCATGCATGCACATGTGCCTGGCGTGTCTCAAGCTGCTGGGCCAACTCGAACCACAGCTGGCCATGTGGGATTCCAGCATCTTAACTGGCCCCTCAACCACGTTCTTAACCATCCTGCCTAGACACTACCTGCAGCCTCCCCAGGGCTTCTCTAGGCCCTGTGTGTGCTAGGCCATCAGTGTGGCTGCCCAGCCCTGGGCCTGGGTCTGACAGCTCGCTGTGTCTGGGTATTTGACAAGCCTCTTCCTTTGCATAGTAGGGGCCTACCAGCACCTCCCTTGGGATTATTGAAGTGCCACTTGGTGTTGTGCTGAGTGTGGACAGACCCTGAGCCCGAGTAGGTGCTCTCGAATGCTTGCAATATATTGCTATGGCAGTGCTTGCTGGGGCCCTCCCAGGGCCTTTGCTATGTAGACGATGAGTGTTTAGGCAGCCGGCATCTCTGGTGCCTGTCAGTCCACTTTGCCCATCAGGCCTTCGCTCATTGGCATGAAGGTACAGTTGTCCTCTCACCTCTGTGTAGTCAATATATATATTATTTGGTTTACTTCGGGTTTTATTTAGAATTATTTTATTTAGGGACCAGCAGTTAGCGTAATGACTATGTCGCTGGACTCCCACGTAGTTGACCACGGTTCTAGTCCCAGACCTGGTGGCTTAAACTCACGCCGGGCGCCTGTGCGTGCATGCCCAAGATCCCGAGAAAAGAATGGAGGAGAAGGGATTGCGGCATGGCCATCCCCCCTGGAGGGTGATTTCTCGCTTTCCATGTCTCTGTCTGTCTGGCAAACGCATGGACCCTATAGCAAAAGCCTCTCAAAAAAAAAAAAAAATTATTTACTCATTCATTTTAATTTGACCAGAGAGAGACACAGAGAGAAAGAGACGGAGGGAAAGTCAGAAAGCCAGCCACCAGGTCCAGGACTCAAACCGTGGTCGACCATGTGGGAGAGTCTAGTGCCTTAACCATGTCACCTGCTGGTCCCAGGTTTACTTTGTTTTTAAAGAATTATTTAATTTTACTTATTATTTATGATTTTTCAGTTTGACCAGAGAGAGAGAGAAAATGAGAAAGCAAGCCACCAGATCCAGGACCTAAACCATGGTTGGCCATGTGGGAGTCCAGGGCCTTAACCTCCACGCCACCTGCTAGTCCCTGTTTTTATAACACCTTTTTTCCTCAGTATCCATAGGGGATTAGTTCTAAGACCCCTTGCAAATAACAAAATCCAGAATATTCAGGTTCCTTAAGTAGAACGTGCAGTATCTGCGTCTAACCTACTCGCACCCTCCTGCTGCTGCTTTCCTCTCTAGATGCTATGCATGCCTTGGACAGTGGGGGACCACACGAAGAGTTCAGACTGCACTATTCAGGGAGGATGGCAGGAAAACAATCTGTACATGTTCAGTACAGAGGCAACCAGAGTTTTCTCCAAATGTTTTCAGTCCCTGGTTGGTTGAGTCCATAGATGCAGAACCTGCAGGTACAGAGGGCCAACTACAGGCACTTCACGAGCCTGCCCTTCCTCCTGAGGGCACAGGCAGAAAACCCGTGACTGCCCTTTGACGTCTCGCCACAACCCTAAACTGAAAGGCAGCATTTGGTTATTTTTCACCCTGTTGGATCTCCCTCAGTTTAAACGGTGGATGGTGTCTGGCTATTTAGGATAGCTCTGCGTTCTCTTGGTTTTCTCTCAGGGCCTGTCTCTCCTCGTGTGCACTGTACTCTAGCTGCCTCTCCACATACAAGTCTTTAACCCACTGTCTTTCTGCCTGGCGTCCCAACATGCTCCGGCCGGGACATGCCTGTGTGCCTCAGCAGCCCAGGGTTACGTGTGCCCCGTGCAGGGGAGCCACGCCATATGTGCCTGCTGCTTCCAGCCCATGCCCGACCGGAGAGCCGAGCGCGAGCAGGACCCCCACGTGGCCCCTCAGCAGTGTGAGTATACCACCTGGGGTCTCTGGAGGTGCCCTCCCTCAGTGTAGACCACCTCCTGTGTGCCCGTCAAGGCTGTGTCAGGTGGTGTTAACTTCTATGTAGGGTATGAAGTAAGGGATGCCACTCTTGCATTTTCATCTGCATACCCAGTTGTCCCGTGGGACTTCATCGTTGGTCCATGTACTCCCACGGATTAATAATGCTGCACCCTAGGGCCCCCATTTCCATACAGAAGCAGCTCTCTGGGTTGGTCTGTCTGTCCCTCCATCATCCCACCGTCACTTTATAATGCGGCACTTCTGAATCTAACGGACGAAGTACAGCGCCTTTTCCTCTCTGTTTGGTTAAGCCAGAGGGCACGGGTGCTCACCGGAGAGACAGGGAGGGGAGGAAGCACCCTCTGGTCATGCGTACCCCTTCTCTCCCATTTCTCTGTCCTGTCAGGGTTTGGGTGTACACATACATGTACCTGGCATGTTTTTCAAGCCACCAGGGCCAGGATTCCAACCACACAGTTGGTCTTGTGGATTCTAGTTTCCCTAAACCATTGGGCTGCAGAGCTGGCTTGATGTCTTGGTTCGTTGTTTGATTGTTTTAATTTCTTCCGTGCACTCACAGAAGAGAGAGAGAAGGACAGTGAGAAAGTACGCCCATCAGGAGTGGCCGCACCGCCACCCTTTCTCTTGTGTTTTCCCCTCCTTTTATGATTTTGGGCTGTGCGCACATGCCCCTGTGTTTTGCCAGCTGCTGAGTCTGTGGCTTAAACCACACACTTGGCCATGTGGGATCCAGCCATCCTAACCACCACCACAGGTCGGCCCACTTACCTCCTGTTTAGTACTTCCTGGTGTGTTAGAGTCCTTGTTCATGATGGTACCCTGTTACGTGGCGTGGCAGCTCCTGCTTTGGACGAGGTGCTGGTCCCGACCTTGAGGGCACAGCAGCTGGCAGGATGTGTGCACGTGCTCCTGCTGGGCACGCCAAGCTTCCTCATGGGGAGGGTGTGCTCCTGGAATGGCGTAGCACAGGTGTGGTGGGGCCTAGCAGGCCCTGGGTGTGGCCCTGGGCCAGGCGACCTGCAGCTGGCCCAGCACATGAGTGGCCCCACTGCCCACTCGGTTGTCCATGCCCTCCTCGGTGGCAGGTTGTTGCCCAGCACACGGTACCACCTGATGGGAGTGTCAAGGAGAAGCTGCAGAGAACACCGCGCCTGGGGTCTGAGCAAGTGCAGTGCTGGAAAGGGCTTTCCCCATCGTCTCCTTTGACTCTAAGTCACAAAGAATGCTTTTATACGAAGAGACCTTTGTGAAATGACTGGGGTTTCAAAGACTGAAGATTCAACCCTGTGGAATGTTTAGCTAGAGTTGACCTAACATTCTAGCCTATAGCACATTAAACATTAAAAAGTAATGTATATAAAGGTAACAACATGGGAAATACGCTTAGAAAAACACCCTCTGTGAGCTGTAAATAAACAGCCGATTGTAGGTACATTACTTACTTGGGAAGGAAGGTGATGGGACAGATACTTGTTTTTCCTTTGGTGGATCCCGGTTTTCTGGCATGAGCACGTGTACAGGGTGAGAGACAGGGTGGGTTGGTCTGTCCTTTCTGACCACACTTAGCCAGTGTGGTTCAGTCGCTGGAATGTGATCTGTTGCCAAGTCCACGGAGACAGCTCACAGGCATGTTTTCGGAGGTGTGCCTCGCCTGGTGCCGAGCGCCCTTGCGCAGAGACTGACCGTTGTCCTCTGTCCGCAGGTGCAATCTGCCTGCAGCCCTTCTGCCACCTGTACTGGGGCTGCACCCGGACTGGCTGCTCTGGCTGCCTGGCCCCGTTCTGTGGTAATATGAGCTCTTCCGCCGAGGAGCTTTGACCTCGCTTATTCTCTCGGGGAACCTGAGGGCAGTGGATGGTGTTTGTGGCTCAGTTGGTCAGCACGCAATGAAGTGTTTTCCCTCTGAGCTACAGAGGTTTGCCATGTCAAAGTGTGAAGTTCATGTTAGCCCAGCATTGAGCAGTGATGGGTGAAAATTGATTTCCAGTGTAAAAGGGTTTAGTTTTGAATTTTTAAAATTTGCTGCAGTGTATGTGTGCTCACCAGAGAAAGAGACAAGATAGGCAGGAACAGAAAGTGAGAAAGCCCCCTGGGGGTGACCACGCTGCAGCCACTTCTCTATCCCCTTGTAAGGAGTTTGGGCACACGAACACACGTGCATGGCATGTTTCTCAAGCCACTGGTCTGGGACTCTGTTCATGCAGTCAGCCATGTGGGATTCCCCCACCATAACCACCATGTCCCTGGCTGGCCTCACAGGGGTTTTTGCTTATGCACGTGACAACACCACTAAAATGGTCTTGCTTCAGGCTTCCATGGAGACTTTGAAGAGCTTATCACTCTAAGGAGGAGGGGGATGGAAATCACTGTTACTTGCTTTCTGAAGATTTAAAAAATATTTGTTTTAATTAAATTTTTTTATATATAGATTTTTGCTATAGGGTGCAGGCACTTCCTAGAGAGACAAAGAGACAGAAAGCAAGAAATCACCCCCAAGGGGGATGGCCACAACCCAGTCCTTTCTCCTCTTGGGATTTTGGGCACACACACACACACACACACACATGCGCCCAGTGTGAGTTTAAGCTGTTGGGTCCTGGACTTGAATTGTGGTCGACTACGTGGGAGTCCAGCAACATAGCCATTACACCATCTGCTGGTCCCATGTTTGAAGTTGTTCTTGTTTTTGTTTTGTTTTAAATCTCATGCACTTACAGAGATAGATGGGAGAGAGCACCACACCCTAGTGGGGCGTGGTCATTCTGCAGCCCCCTTTCCCTCACTTCTCCATCCTGTTGGGATTTGGGTGTACAGAATATGTACCGATGTGTTTTCAGTCCACCAGGGCCAGGATGTGAACCACGTGGTTGGCCATGTGGCATCTGAGTCCCTTAACCAGGCCCGGAGGCTGGTCCTGAAGTTTCTTTTATCATGGAATTTTTCCCTTTTTTTTTTTAATGATTATTTTATTTAGCTTTATTTATTTATTTTATTTTTATTTGGCCAAAGAGGAACAGAGTGAGAGAGAAGGAGAGAGAAAGTGAGAAAGCAAGTCGCCAGGTCAGCCATGTGGGAGTCCAGTCCCACACAGCACCTATCATGGAGTTCCCCATTCTTCTGAATCTATAATGAAAAGAAATTTAGCTATCTCAACTGTTGGGCAAATAGTACTTTCACAGTGTCTTTGTAAAACAGGTAACATTGCTTCCCTTTATCTGGCAGAACTCAACCTGGGTGAGAAGTGTCTGGATGGGGCATTGAACAACAACAACTATGAATCAGACATCTTGAAGGTATTTTCAGACTTGCCCTCGGGGTTAGGTGAAACCATGAAAAAGCCTCCCACGGTGATCTAAGTTCCTTCCTGACACATTGTGCCTTGTGGCGAGCACAGCTCGTGAGCTTTCTGCACCCATTGGTGTGAGTCTGTTCTCCCATATTCCAGAAGTGGGCATTCCCACCTGGGCTGAGAGCCCATACGAGTCAGTTCCTGCAGCTCAGCGAGAGTGTTCCTTGGAAGCACACTGATGGGACCAGGGCCTTCTCTGGCACCTTCCTTTCCTGGTCGCTTTCCTTCCTCTGTTTGAGGAAGCTTGTTTGGCGTGTTTTTGTGGCTTTGCACAGAAGGAACTAGACAGGACAGGCATCATGTCCTTGGGGTGTCACACAGACTGGGGGCCTGTTTTGGGGCTGTATGCATGCTGGCCAGGGTTAGCATCTCACCTTGCTGTGCATGTCTTTGCAGAATTTTGTGGTAATCTTATTCTCTCTCTCTCTTTTTTTAAGAATTATTTTATGTAACTTTATTTATCTTAACTTGACTAGAGGGACAGAGTGTGTGTGTGTGTGTGTGTGTGTGTGTGAGAGAGAGAGAGAGAGAGAGAGAGAAAGTGAGAAATTAAGCGATCAGGTCCGGGACTCAAACCATGGTCGGCCATGTGAGAGTCTAGACCCTTAACTATCATGCCACCTACCTGCCCCCACTCATTCTCAGAATTCTAAAGCTAGCCTTCCTGGAGGCCCCAGAGAGGCTCTTGGAAAAGCACCCTTGTGCAGCAGCGTGGGGTGTGTTGCCCACACTGCCTGCGGGAACTGGTTGGGTTGCCCTGTGTAAATGCCACTTGTAGGTGGCCTTTTATGAGATGTTCCCTCTCTGTCATTTTAGTGCCTCTTTTTCTAAAGTAGGACTTCTTTTTTTCCATCAGAATTACCTGGCGACTCGGGGTTTGACATGGAGAAACCTGTTGACGGAAAGCCTTGTAGCTCTTCAGCAGGGAGTGTTTCTTCTGTCTGGTGAGCTTGATTAAGTGCCTTCTTCCATTTAGAGTAGGTGTGCGTTTCTGAGGCTGCCTTTGCCTCCTGCAAAGGGTAAAAGCAGGCCACACCTGGCTGATGTTCTGTGTTCTCAGCTTTGACAATCAACCCACCCTAACAGAGAGAAAGGTTCTGATAATTTGGGATTAAAACTTGAACTTGAACCTGCACAAAGTAGCAGCTTCTCTCCCTGTTGGGTGGATGGAGGGCATGGTCTGCAGAGTCTCACCACTCGGGAGCTCCCAGACCCTCAGACTCCTCGTCGTGTCTTCACGTCCTGACTGCCCAGTGAAGGCAGAAGTAGTAACCAGAAAGTTTCTTCTGAGACATAAATTATGATGAAATAATGACCGAAGTGGCTTCCTTAAAATACTGTAAGCTCGGGGCCGACAGGTGGCGTGGAGGTTAAGGGCGCTGCACTACAACATGGCTGACTGTAGAACGAGTCCCACACCTGGTGGCTCGTTTTCCCACTTTCCCTCTCTCACTCTGTCTCTCTCTAGTCAAAATAAAATAATAAAATAAAATAAAATAAAGTTAATTAGGGGAACCAGCAGTTAGCGTAATGGCTATGTCACTGGACTCCCACGTAGTCGACCGCGGTTCTCGTCCCTGACCTGGTAGCTTAAACTCACGCCGGGCGCGTGTGTGTGCGTGCCCAAGATCCCGAGAGGAGAATGGAGGAGAAGGGATTGTGGCATGGCCATCCCCCCTGTGGGGTGATTTCTTGCTTTCTGTCTCTGTCTGTCTCTGTCTGTCTGGCGAGCACACGCCCTATAGCAAAAATCTCTCCAAAAAATAAAAAATAAATAAAAAATAAAAGTTAATTAAATAAAATAGGGGCTGGCAGGTGGCATGCTGGTTAAGGGCTCTGGAATCCCACATCGCCAGTGGCAGTTTGAGTCCTGGACCTGGTGGCTTGCTTTCTCACTTTACCTCTCTCTCATTCTCACTTGCTCTGTCCTTCTTAATATAAATAAATAAAATTAAAAATAAATAAATAAAGTTAAATAAAATAATTCTTAAAAATACCCTTTAAGCTGTTTCCCTCTTGCAGACACATGCTGTGGGCCCCTCAAGTATGCTCTGTGCTGGCGGGCTGCTGTGTGGCTCTTGTCTGATCTGAACCTCTTTGGCTTTCTAACGGCTTCTTTTTCTGAGAATGACCCAGTACCCAAGGAAATGTAAGTGGCAGGGGAGGTTTGAGTGATTGGATCAGAGTCACTGGAAATCCCACTACCTAGGAACACCTGCAGCTGCAGCGTGTCTGTGACCACCCTGCCAGGCCCCTGCCAGCACATCCGCCCGTAGGCGTCCAACTTCCCTGCCGTGGGCTACATGCAACCAGTTACCACTCAGCAACATACCACAGACCCCTTTCTATCAGTAAAGCTCTGTACTGTGATTCGTTATTAATTACATGATATTCTGACATCAGAGTTTAACCAGTATATTTTTTTAAGAATTATTTTATTTAACTTTATTTATTTATTTTTATTTAAAATTTAACCAAAGAGGAACAGAGTGAGAGAGAGAAAGAGAGAGGTAAAGTGAGAAAGCAAGCCACCAGGTCCAGGACTCAAACTGGTTGGCAATGTGGGGAGTCCAGTGCCCTTAACCACCATGCCACTTGTTGACCCCAATATATTTTCAAAAATGATTATTGTATTTAATTTCATTCATCACAATCACCATTACTATTTTAGTTGAACATAGAGAGAGAAAAAGAAAGAAATTGAGAAAGCAAGGCACCAGGTCTGGGGCTTGAATCACAGTCAGCCATGTGGGAGTCCAGCGCCCTAACCACCATACCACCTGCCACCTGAGTTCAGTCATTACATTAATAAAGAATCTTTCAATTATTCCCAGTTTCTCATGATTCTAAACAACTGGCGAGCTGTGCAGTATGATAAATCTGAATGGTTATTACCTTAGGGTGAGTAGCTAGGGCAGCGAGGTGAGTGGTGCACACCGCTGAGACTGCCACGTGCGCGGTGTGAGGGCGCCCTGCTTGTGCTCCAGCTCCACTCTGCCTGGGAATCTCGTGTGTGGTGCATTGGCAGCACACCAGGTTGCAGAGCGGGGACTCATGTGCCAACCATGGTTCAAGCTCTTGGCCCAGTTGGCCTGAAGACATGCCAGGCATGTGTGTATGTGCTCCAGATACCAACAAGCTGGAGACTGGAGAAGGGCTGGTGGCGTGACCCAGCCCACGGAGCAGCACCCCCCCAACCTTCTGTCATGTACACGCTCTGTCATGGATAGAGAGTGAGATGACCCAGCCCACTGAGCAGCACCCCCCAACCTTCTGTCATGTACACGCTCTGTCATGGATAGAGAGTGAGATCACAGAAATGCGAGAGAGCCAACAGTGATATATCATTTGTTTTCAGTTTTTGCCTGTGTTTGATTTTTTTTTTAGTAAAATTGATGGTGCTTTTGCATTTATGGGTGATTGACTTGTCTGTAATTTGGCCCATACTTCCATCAGGCCTCTCAGGTTTTTTCCCAGTATGGACTTGTGTGATATCTTTGTAACTGTGGTATAATTATGTCATTCATATTGCAGCTGTGTTTATACCGTGTCACTAGTATTTTACCTTTGTTGTATGTGTTTTCCTTTTTCTTTCTTTAAAATTTTTGCTCTAGAGTTCATGTGCTTGCCAGAGAAAGACAGAGAGAGGAAAAGTGAGAAATCTCCCCCTAAAGGGGTGGCCACACTGCAGTTCCTTCTCCATTCTCCTCTCAGGACTTTAGACACATGCCTGGAATGATTTTAAAACCACTGGGGTATGGGACTTGAATCGTGGTCAGCCATGTGGGAATCTAGCATCTTAACCCCCGTGCCTCCTGCTGCTTTCTCTCAATTCCATCTTATGATGTTTACATTGTAGGTAATCAGATTTACAAGTTCTTTTCTATGTGCCTCTTGGTTCTCATAACGTACTTAGAAATAGCGTGGGTTAACCAGCGGCATGGTGGTTAGGGCAGCTTGATCACACATGGCTGTGTGGTCTGAGCTTTAGACCTAGTGACATGTGCACGCCTTTGTGTGTGTGTGACCAAAATTCTGAGAGGAAAAATGGAGGAGAAGGAGTTGTAAGGCCATTTTCTTTGGGGTGGAGGGAGTCTTTCTCTTCTCACTCCCCAGCAAGTGCATGCAGAATTTTTAAAACAAGAAAAAGGGAGGGCTGTCCAGGAGAGGGCTGTCCCCTTGGCTTAGTGGTTAAGGGAGCCAGATCCCACACAGCTAACCCTGGTTGGCTTGATAAACATGTTAGGTGCAAGTCCATGCATGCTCAGGGTCCTGACAGGAAGGAGAGATGGAAGAGAAGGAATTGTGTCATGACTAAGTCCCGTTGAGGTGTGTTTCTTGTCTCTCTGCCTCTTTCTGGCTAGCACACATGCCCTGTGGCAAAATGGGGGGGGGAAAATAACTCAGGAGAAGGTACTCATTCCAGCTCTGATGGCGGCAAGGTTAGCTATTCAGTGCAGTGTGGAGCCAGGTGGTCCACTGCAGACTCATCTCCTGAGCTGACTTGAGATAACATGCACCTAGCACCCGGAGCTGGAGGGTTAGGAGGGAACTGCTGCTTGACGAGGCCCTGTCAGGGGTGCCTCCCTCCCTTCATCCTTCCCTCTCTGTCTCTTTCTTTCTTTCTTTCTTTTTTTTTTTGTTCAGTTTTTTTGCTCTAGGGCTTGTGTGCTCTCTGGAAAGACAGCGAGAGACAGAATATGAGAAATGATGCCCCTGGGGGGATGGCCATGCCACAGTCCCTTCTCCATTCTCCCATGTACCCAGCATGAGATTTAAGCCATTGGGTCCGGGACTTGAACTGTGGTCAACAACATGGGAGTCCATTGACATAACCATTATGCCATCTGCTGGTCCCCTCTCTTTCTCTTTCACATTTGTGCATACATACCGTCATGAATAAAGTAAAATAGAAAGTAATAATTCCACTTTCCTCTTAATTCTTTGTGTGTGGTTTTTTTGTTTTATTTATTTATTTATTTATTTTGGAGAGGTTTTTGCTATAGGGTGCATGCACTTTCCAGAAAGACAGAGAGACAGAAAATGAGAAATCACCCTGCAAGAGGGATGGTCACGCCGCAGTCCCTTGTCCCTCATTCTCCTCTCAGGATCTTGGGCACACACACACATGTACCCAGCGTGAGTTTAAGCTGCTCTGGGACTTGAACCGAGGTTGACTATGTGGGAGTCCAGCAATGTAACCATTACGTCATCTGCTGGTCACTCTCGTGTTTTTAATAATTAAAATTTTTATCTCTGGGGACTGACCCCTTGTCCTAGTGGTTAAAGGTACCATATCCCACATGACCGAATGTGCGTTTTAAATCCTAGCCCTGGTGGCTTGAAAAACATGCTGGGTTTATGTGCATGTGTGCCTAGAATCCCAAAAAGGATGGAGAAATGAAAAAGAGGGGACTAGGCCCCATGGGGGATGCCATCTTGTGTGTGTGTGCGCGCGCGCATGCGTGCACAAATCTGGGAAGTGCCTCTGCCCTCTGGAAAAGTTTTTAAAAAATAAAAAGACAAGGGACCAGCAGGTGGTGTGGTGGTTAGGGTGCTGGACATTCCCACATGGCCAACCATGGTTTGAGTCCTGGACCTAGAGGCTTGCTTTCTCTCTCTTTCTTCTCTCTCCTCTCTCTCATCTCTCTCTGGTCAAGTTAAAATAAATGAATGAATAAATAAAATAATTAATTTTTAAAATTATTAAAACAAAAAAAAAGACAAGACAAAGGAGGTGGCATCTAGGTGGGTTTTGCTCTTTTTCTAAATGTTGCACCCGTTGTCTGCTTGCCGTGGAGCGGAGTGGTGGTTCTCACTAGTCTGAAGAGTGGTGTCTGGGCTGTTCTGAATGCAGCGGTGCTGACGGCTGTGCCCCCCCAGATTACAGGATCTCTGGAAACACCGTGCTATGTTACTGCTGCGGCCTGCGCAGCTTCCGGGAGCTGGCCTATCAGTACCGGCAGAGCATCCCTGCTTCTGAATTGCCAGGTGAGGAGCCCCGCCCCACCAGCCCAGATCCTGTTTGGGTTGGCTCCGTACTCCCTCCTGACCATTCCCGGGGACTCAGCCCTGTACTCTTAGTAGAAATGAGCACCAGCCAGGGAGGCGAGGCAGGCAGACTGGATGAGGCCACGCACACCTCAGGGAGTGAGTGAGCCCATCTGCTACTCGTAAGGACAGTGGGACTTCTCAGACAACCAGAGAAATTTCACTTCCCAAGTTGGATTTTCAGTGAAACGTGTCTCCCTTTCCTGAAATCATGGGACAGCTCAAGGAAATCAGTTATACAAAGTGAAGGCACTCTGCATGTCAGCTGCAGTCGCCTGTCAATCTCACTTGGCTCTGTAACTTTTCTTCTTCTCCCAGTGGCTGTCACATCCCGCCCGGACTGTTACTGGGGCCGTAACTGCCGCACTCAGGTGAAGGCTCACCATGCAATGTAAGTGAGGCTCGGGAAGGTGACAGAGACAGCTCTCCCCTGAGGCGCACGCCGGTTTAGTCACTGCCTTCTGTGCAGAGCACATCGTCATGCTTTTCCTGTGTCCCCTCCTGTGAGGTGCGGGTGTGCAGACACACACCTCCGACCCCCACCTCCATGTCTTCGTGGCTGGGTCACTTATCCACGGCTGGCAGCTTTCGGAGCTCCGGTGGGTTCTGAACCTGTGCCTCTGGTCACTGCAACCTCCATTCCAAGCCACAGGCCCTGCCCACAGCACGTCTCGGCCGTGAGTACGTGTCTGTGATACTATGACTTCATCACACTCACCACACTGTCTGTGACGTGGTCCTCTAAAGATATTAGCAGTGACATCCGTTCTTCCTGGGAGGTCATAGGGCAGGAGTAATTGCCTCCATTTTTTGAAAGGATTATTTATTGTGACCAGCAGTGTAATGGCTATGTCGTTGGACTCCTCTACCACGGTTCGCGTCCCACTCACGCCAGGCGTGTGTGCATGTATGCCCCACATCCTGAGAGGAGAATGGAGGAGAAGGGATTTTGGTGTGGCCATCCCCTCTGGGGGGTGATTTCTTGCTTTCTGTCTCTCTGTCTCTGTCTGGCGAGCACACGCGCCCTATAGCAAAAACCTCTAAAAAGAAAAAAAGAATTATTTATTACTGTTATGATTAATTTTAATTTGCTGTAAGGTATGTGTACTCACTAAAGAGAAACAGAGAAAGTGAGAAAGCAAGCCACCAGGTCCAGGACTCCAACCCTAGTTGGCCGTGTGGGAGTCCAGTACCTTTAATTGCTGTGCTACCTGCTCACCCCTCTGGCTCCATTTTTAATTTATTTTTCTAAAGAATTATTTAGGGGCCAGCAGGTGGCATTGTGGTTAAGAGCACTGGACTCCCAGATGACTGACCATAATCCGAGTCCTGGACCTGGCGGCTTACTTTCTCACTTTCCCTCTCTCTCTCTCTCACTCTGTCCCTTTCTGGTCAAATTTAAATAAATAAGAAAGTTAAATAATTCTTTAAAAAAAGAATTACTTAATTTTGTTTATTCTTTTTTAATTTGACCCGAGAGAGAGAGCACAAGCAAGCTGCTAGGTCCAGGACTCGAACCATGGTCAGCCATGTGGGAGTCTGGCGTATCAACTACCATGCCACCTGTCAGTTCTCAGTCTGCCTCTATTTTTAAACAAGCGAAGTGATCACTGGGCCAGTGAGTAATCTCCAGTCATCTGTGGTTCAGACCTAAGTAACTAAGACTTTGCCCTGAAATTGAGAAGTACTGAGGACTCAGGTCAGGGTGACTCCCTCCAAGGAGGGGTTCTTATGGGAATAACCCTTGCTTTGTAACTGAGCATAAAATGGCATGTGGGAGAGACCCTCAGTCTAAGAAAGTGAGTGGTTAACATTTTGGAATAGTGATACAGACGAGGGTAGCAAAGGCTTGCTCTGTCTTCCCCTGTGGTGTCCCTGCTCTTGCCCATGGTAGTGGGGATGGACAGTGACTGTCCATCACCTGGCATCAGTGTGTCGGTCTCAGCCCTGCCAGGTGATCCACTGGATGACAGGGACACTCAGAGGGGACACAACTTCTATTCTCTAAGGAAATCACAAGATGATTTTACTTCTGTTTTAAAATTTTAAATGAAAGGACCTGCTAGCCTTGTAGTTAAGGGTGCTGGACTCGCGCATGGCTGACTGCAGTTCGAGTCCCAGACTTGGTGGCTTGCTTTCTCACTTTCCCTCTCTCACTCTGTCGGTCTCTGCTCAAATTAAAATACAAATAAATTAAATAAATAAAGTTAAATAAATCATTCTATCATTCTTTTTTTTTTTTTTTTTTTTGGAGAAGTTTTTGCTATAGGGCATGTGCGCTCGCCAGAAAGTCAGAGAGAGACGGAAAGACAAAAAGTGATAAATTACCCCCCAGGGGGACAGCCATGCCGCAATCCCTTCTCCTCCATTCTCTCAGGATCTTGGGCACGCATGCACACATACCCGGCGTGAGTTTAAGCCACTGGGTCCAGGACTTGAACCACGGTTGACTATATGGGAGTCCAGTGACATAGCCATGACGCCAACGACTGGTTCCTAAATAAATAAATCTTTTTTTTTTTTAACTAAATTTTATTCATTCATTTATTTTTAATTTGACACAGAGAGAGAGAGAGAGAGAGAGAGAAAGGGGGAAAGCGAGAAATCAAGCTACCAGGTCTGGGACTCAAACTGTGGTCAGCCATGTGGGAGTGTCCAGCACCTTAACCACCACACCACCTGCTGGTCCCCCATAAATAATTCTTAAAAAACATACTACCATTGGCATAGTCCCTTCTCCTTCATTCTCCTCTCGGTATGTTGGGCACACATGCCCGGTGTGAGTTTTAAGCCACTGGGTCCGGGACTTGAACCGTGACCAACTACATGGAAGTCCAGTGACATAACCACTATGCTATCTGCTAGTCCCATGAAGAACATTGTAAGAGGTGCAGTCACAGTCTCTGAAAAATGGGTCAAACTCAAATTCATAGCGTATTAGATAGGTTTGTAAATAAACTTATAACCTGAATGCTTGATGCCTCTTTTCTGAAATAAGGATGTGATCAGTTGAACTTGTCCTTCCTTTATTTTTTGGATAATATTACCAACTTAGTTTCTTCGTAAAGGGGAAAAAATATTCTCTCTCTCTCTCTCTCTCTCTCTCCTGTCAAGCCAGCCAATGGTGTGGTCTTTTAGGTGCTCGATCCCATAGAGCTGACAGCACAGTTCAAGTCCTGATCCTGGCAACGTGAAAAACACATGGGTGGAGTGGTGGTTAAGGCACTGGACTTGGCAGCTTGCGTTCTCATTCTCTCTCTCTCTCTCTCTCTCTCTGCTAAGAGCACATATCTTATAGCAAATTAAAAATAATAGTAATAAAAAGAAAAACGGAAAAAACACTGGGTGTGTGTTAAGTGTTTGCTGAGTCCTGAGAGGAGAAGAGATTGTCGCATGGCTGTCCTCCCTGGTGGTACTCTTTCTCTCTGTGTCTCTCTTCAGTGGGTGCAGTCACCCTATAGCAAATTTTAAAAATGTGCACATGCACACACAGAATTTAGGCATGCACACGCACAGTTTATCTCTCATGTAGTTTTTCCAGTTTGTGGTTTCAGAATGTATTTGAATACTTCCCTGATGCCCTCTTGTGTAATTTTACTGTTTTCTTTCTGCAGGAAGTTTAATCACATCTGTGAACAGACACGGTTCAAGCACTGAGCGGCAGGCAGGGGCCCTGGAGAGCTGCGGAGCATGGGCTTCAGAAACAGCGAGCACAGACGTTTTAGGGGCATTTTTATCTTTGCCCCCAGGGACACTGGGGGTTTCTGGTCCAGTAGTCTGGTGTGATTTTTCCTTCTGCGGTGCTTTACCTGCCCAGAGAGGCCCAGGAAGTGGGCCTGGAGGCCCTGGGGGCATAGCCCATGCTCTAGGCCCGCGCTCCCCTCCCAGGTGTGGATGCAGGTTTGCTCTTCCTGTCCCTTTTCCATAAAGACCATTAAAACAGAAATCTCTTCAGAAAGGATTTCATGGGAGAAAAGGGAGAATTTATCAAGAGCATTCTGTTTAAGGAAAATGGAGCATATGTTTAAAGCCTACAGGATGTACAGAATATTCTGCTGTGGGGAAGACCACCACATTTTTATATTTTTTATTTTATAGGTTTGGTGCTTATATTCTAATAAGACTTAAATATCACAAACCGTAGCACAAATAATATAATTTATAATTTACAAAATGACTAAAATGGGGGTAGTATGGTATTTGGAAGAATAGGCATATGTTTCTGTTTATTGAAAACATTCATGGGGCTGGCTCTGCCGCCTGGTGGCTAAGGCAGCTGGATCCCGCATGGCCGACTGTGTGACTTGGGTCCTGGACTCAGGGCCTTGAGAAACATGCTGGGTGTGTATGTGTGTGTGCTTGCCCAAAGTCTGAGATGGGAGGCAGGAGGAGAGATTGCAGCACAAGCGTGCCCTGTGTTGGGTGCTCTGTGTGTGTGTGTACATGCCCAAAGTCTGAGATGGGAGGGAGGAGGAGAGATTGCAGCACGAGCGTTCCCTGTGGTGGGTGCTTTGTGTGTGTGTACGTGTGTGTACATGTACATGCCCAAAGTCTGAGATGGGAGGGAGGAGGAGAGATTGCAGCACGAGCGTGCCCTGTGGTGGGTGCTTTGTGTGTGTGTGTGTGTACATGTGTGTACATGTACATGCCCAAAGTCTGAGATGGGAGGGAAGAGGAGAGATTGCAGCACGAGCGTGCCCTGTGGTGGGTGCTTTGTGTGTGTGTTCGTGTGTGTACATGTACATGCCCAAAGTCTGAGATGGGAGGGAAGAGGAGAGATTGCAGCACGAGCGTGCCCTGTGGTGGGTGCTTTGTGTGTGTGTTCGTGTGTGTACATGTACATGCCCAAAGTCTGAGATGGGAGGGAAGAGGAGAGATTGCAGCACGAGCGTGCCCTGTGGTGGGTGCTTTGTGTGTGTGTTCGTGTGTGTACATGTACATGCCCAAAGTCTGAGATGGGAGGGAAGAGGAGAGATTGCAGCACGAGCGTGCCCTGTGGTGGGTGCTTTGTCCTCTCCATCCTCTCACCTCTTTCTCTCTGTGAGTGCACATGCCCTCTAGCAAGAAGAAGTATCAGTCTAAAACTGCTCATCCTCCGTGTGGACACAAGGTTGGCAGAGTCACCACTGTCCTAGCACAGGGCTGGCTCCAGGTGGTGGCTGCAGAGGGAGGACGAGGCCCAGCACAGCCACCCCCTCTGCTGCCCAGGCCCTCCCTGCTGAGGCGCCGTAGGGGTGCAGGACCTCTGCTTCTGCATTAGGTTCTTCTTCACCTCATCTGGGGTAAAACCTCAGGTTTGGCTTTGGTTAAAAAACAAGATTCGTGTGTGTGTGTGTTTGTGTGTGTGTGTGTGTGTTGAAATCACCTGTTCTGTTTGTTTGCAAACTGGTAACTTGCTTCTTCTCAGGAATATTATTTTCAACTGTTTTCTTGCTCTTGATGTAGTCTGAGAAGCAGCACTCTGTATTTGTGGAAGAATTCTTTTTTCTCATCTTAATAAAACGGGCATTTGTTTCTCTCCTGTCCTGGAGGCTCATGGCTCCCATGACTCCCATGATTCCCATCCAGGGGAGACAGGGCCTGTCTACTGGAAGGAAGTGATCTGTTGTCTGCAGGCGGTCTGGTGCCTCCATCAGGGTTAGCTATGTGGTACACATGACTCAGCACCGGTCTGCACACCCGGGGTCGAAGCTGCGTAGAAGCTGGGCTGGGGGTATGTGGAGTGTCGGGGAGGTGGCTGTCAGGCCTGGAGTGTATTCCCCAAACCAGCTAGCCCAGCTGCCTCAGGGAGCGTTCACTCCCTCTCCCTCCCTTTCTCCCCAAAGTAAAGGTAACACCCACCCGCCAGAAGATAGAGCTGCTTTTCTGTGCCTTGTTTCAAGGTCCTTCCTAAGCCATCTATCTAACATAGCAGTGTGTCTGCCCACCGGTCTCTACCGTGTGTTTGTCAGCAGACGACACAGGAAGTTGTTTGTTCAGTACCAGAAGGTAAGTTCTGAGAGCAACGTGTAGTGTAATACTCGGCATACAGCAGGCCACTATCAATACTGAATGTAGGGGCCAGCCGATGGCATAATGGTTACATCACTGGACTCCCATAAAGCCGACCACTGTACAAGTCCCAGACCTGGAGGCTTAAAACTTATGCTGGGTGTGTGTGCGTGTATCCACAAAATTCCAAAAGGAGAAGAGATTGTGGTATGGCCATCCTCCCTGGGGGGTGATTTTTCACTATCTCTCTGTGTCTCTGGTGAGAGTGCATGTGTCCTATAGCAAAATTCTCTCTTAATAGAAAATATATTGAATATAATAATGACAACTCAGTAGAGGCAGCCCCTCCCACTCTGACACATTGCCAGTTCGTTTTCCACACGTCAGTGATCACTCTGAAGGTCTGGTCCTCCACACACACAAAGGTGAAGCAGAGCAGGGCCCTGTCAGTCATGGGCCTCCCCAGCCCCCCAAGTGCAGAGCAGTGCTGAGCTCATTGAAGACTCACATGAGTCCATTGACTGATGAACAGACACGCAGGATGGGTTCTACTGAGGCAGTGAGAGTACACAGTAAAGAGAATGAAGCACTCAAACATCTTACAGTGTGGATGCTGAGTGAGAGAGGAGGCAGTTGTGAAAGGCCTTAGGTTGTGGGATCCACGCAGATGAGATGTCCAGAATAGAGACAGGTAGTGAATGACAGTGACAGGGGCTTGCCCACGGGCTGGGGTAGCTGCATGCAGGCAAGCAGGACCCTGAGGTGGTGGGAGTGTTCTATACTTGGGGTATAACGGGCCCACAGTTCTGCAAACTTATCAAAATAGTCATTGAACGGTACACACAACAAGCAAATTCTGCAGTGCTGTAGTATCTCAAGCTGTTGAACGTTTTACTCATCTCGGGTCGGCATGTGGGGTAGTGGTTAAGGTGCTGGGCTCACACATGGCCAACTGCAGTTTGAGTCCCAGACCTGGCAGCTTGAAACTCAAACCGGGGGGACCAGCAGGTAGCGTGATGGCTATGTCGCCGGGCTCCCATGTAGTTGACCGCGGTCCGAGCCCCAGACCCGGTGGCTTAAACTCATGCCGTGTGCATGTGCGCCCAAGATCCTGGAAGGAGAATCAAGGAGAAGGGATTGAGGCATGACTGTCCCCCTGGGGGGTGATTTTTTGCTCTCTGTCTCTGTCTTTCTGGTGAGTGCACGCACCCTATAGCAAAAAACCTCTCCCCCAAAAAAGGAAAAAGAAACTCAAACTGGGCACATGTGCTTATGTGCCCTAAATCCTTAGAATGGAGAAGGGACTGTGACATGGCCATCCCGCCTAGGGGGGTGCTTTCTTACTTTCTCCCTCTGTCTCTGTCTCCCTCTGTCAAGCACATGTGCCCAATAGCAAATTTAAATATACATATTTTAAAAAATTTTTAAATTTGCTATAGGGCAGGGCCAGCAGGTGGCATAGTGGTTAAAGTACTGAACTCCAATCTGGTTGACTAGTTCGAGTCCTGGTCTCAGCAGCTTGAAACACATGCTGGGTGAGTGTATGCCTGCCCAAAAGACCAGAGGAGAAGGGATTGTGGCATGACCATCTCCCCGGGAGCGATTTCTCACTTTCTGCCTCTCTGGTGAGTGCACATGCCCTATAGCATCTCAAAAAATTTGCTATTGGGCACATGTGCTCACCAGAGAGCAACAGAAAGAAAGGGCAAGAAAACAAACCAGTGAGTCTGGGACTTGAACTGGGGTCAGCCATGTGGGAGTATAGCACCTTAATCATGCTGGCCCCAGTATATGTGTATTTAAATACCAATGAATGAGCCTGATTTGTATGTATGCGTGTCACACTTCACTTGCTAGTTTAAAAGTCCCCAGTTTGCTCTGCTGGTTACTGCAGTATGGAAACCAGGAATTGGAGTGTGTGTGTGCTGTCATTTTCTCACATATGGAGATTCCTTGGACACCATCACAATCAGATACCAAACAGTCCCCTAAGGCCAGCAGGTGGCATGGTAGGCATATCCTTTCCAGGAAAATGTCCTCTCTTGGGGCTAGCAGGTGACATGGTGGTTAAGGGCACTGGATACAACATGGCCAGGCACAGTTCGAGTCGCAGACCTGGTGGCTTGCTTGCTTGCTTTCTCTCTGTCCCTCTCTGGTCACGTTAAACTAGATAATTCTTTTTTTAAAGTATTAGGCTTTTGCCACGGGGCATGTACACTTCTAGGAGAGAGAGACCCAGAAAGGGGAAAGTGAGAAATCACCCTCCAGAGGGATGGACACACCACAATCTTTTTCCCTCTATTCTCCTCATGGCATTTTGGGCATATACGTGCATGCACCTGGCATGATTTTCAAGCCACTGGTTCTGGAACTTGAACCATTTGGGAGGCCAGCACCTTAACCACTATGCCCCCTGCTGGACCCTTCGTGAAATGTCTTGCTTGTCTTCTAATTGTTTTTGTTTTTTTGTTTGTTTTTGTACAATTTGCCATAGGGTATGTATGCTTACTAGAGACAGAAAGAGACATAGAGGGGGAAAATAAATCATTCCCAGAGGGGATGGCCATGCCACAATCCCTTTTCCATTCTCCTCTTGGGATTTTGGGCATGCACACACATGTGCCTGGTGTGATTAAAACCGTGGTCGGTAATGTGGGAGTACAGTGTCTTAACCACTACACCATCTGCTGGTCCCCTAAGTGTATTTTAGAGAGAGACTTTTGCTATAGGGTGCATGCACTCACTGGAAAGACAGAAAGTGAGAAATCCCCCCACAGGGCATATGACCATGACACAATCCCTTCTCCATTCTCCTTTTAGGATTTTGGGCACACATGCACACATGCATGGTGAGAGTTTTAAGCCACTGGATCCGGAACTGGAACTGTGGTCAATTACATGCGAGTCCCCTAACGTAACCCTTGTGCCATCTGCTGGTCCCAAGTGTGTTTTTTAACTGTTGAAGTTTGAGTTTTTTTTGTTTTAATTTGCTAGTAGGGGGCATACACTTGCAAGAGAGAGGAGAGAGTACCCTCTGGTGGGGTGTGGTCACACCAGGATCCTTCTCCATTCTGTTGGGATTCTGGGTACACGGGTAAGAACCTGCCTTGTTTCCTAGGTTGTTGGGACCAGGATTTGAACCACACAGTCAACCATGTGGGATCCGACTCCCTTAACCACTTGGCTGTGGGGCTGCCCCACCCTCGTTTTTATGAGTCGGAGGGAAAACGTATTTTTGAGTCTTCCCATGTCATGGGCCTCTATCCCCATCTCCCAATTAGCTAGGACCACAGACGCACACCATGCCAGCCTCTCCAGGTTGTTCTGGAACTAAACCATGTGGCCCCACCCTGACATAGTGGCACCTACTGCTTATGCCAACAGAACTGAGCTGTCTGTTTTTATCCTCTTTATGTGATCTTAGAAAAAAATTTAATTTGGTGAAGTTCGATTCACCAATTTTTCCTCTAGTGAATTGTGCTCCCTGCCCCACATCGTATTTAAGAATTTTTTGCTGGCACCAGCAGATGGTGTAATGGTTAGGTCCAGCAGCTGTGGTTTGTGTCCCAGACCCAGAAATTGGAAACTCACGCTGGGCAGGTGTGCATGCGTGCCCAAAACTGCAAGAGGAGAATGGAGAAAGACTGCCATGTGACCATTCCCCCTGGGGCGGGAGGGAATTCTCACTTTCCGTGTCTCTCCAGCAAGTGCAGGTGCCCTATAGCAAACGTCTCTGTATTAACAACAATTTAAAAAAGGTAAATTGCAGACTTTTGCAGACAAGATTCTTGTAAAATTGCTAATGGGAAGGCATGGGCCTCATAATATAGCTGGAACATCATGAAGAATGAAGTGGTTAGAATGGCCCTGCCCAATACCAGGACTCCGTTAACACTGTAGTCAAGATGCGATATGGGTGGAGGGTCACACACACAGGTCAACAAAACAGACTCAAAACCAGAAACAGACCCAGGCAAGTACCTCTGAGTACTTTTTGACAAATGTTTAAAAGCAATTCAAGAAACAGTGCTGGAACAACTAATATCCGTAGGCAAGAGCCAAAACAATTGCAGCGCTGGCCTACATTCACTTTTTTCTTTAAGAGATTTTTGCTATAGGGTGCGTGTGCTTGAGGGAGAGAGACCGCGAGAAGTCACTCCCCGCAGTGGGGGCGGCCGCATCCATTCACCTCCGTTCTCCTCTGGGATTTTGGGAACACATGCGCACGTCCACAGCCTGAGTTTCAAGCCCCCGGGTCCAGGACTCGAACTGGCATCAAGTTCATGGGAGTCCAGCGACGTAACCATCGCGCCATCTGCTGGTCCCTAAACTCACTTTTTCAGACGTTTGAAACGGGGTTGGAACACAAGAGCGCGGGGCCAGGGGAAAGGTCTGGGAGTGCCGGGCGGCAGCGCCTGCACCCGCGGCGTCCGTGAGCCACGCCCACCGCGCAGGGCGGGCCGGCGAGCGTGGCCACGCCCACAGACGGACACATTGGGCGGGGCAGGGGTGGGGACAGGCCTAGCCGGTCCACGCCACTTCCGCCGGAAGCTCAGTTATCTAGTGTCGTGTCCGAGTTGGTCCTTCTAGTACGGAAGTTGTGTTTCTACAAAGGTAAGGGCTGGGTCTACAAAGCGAAGCATCGCCACTCTTCAGTTCCCTTTTAGAAGTCCGCCTCGCGCAGGCACTGTGAGCCCGACGCCGACTGCGGCTCCTGGCGGGCAGAGGACATTCTTCGTCCGGAACGAAGGCGCCGCGCACTGGCCGTTTCCTGGGGGCCGTGATCGCAGCTCACTGCGCCCCGCCCCTCGCACGGCCACGTCTCCGCGGAATAGCGGGGCTCGGCCGCGGCGGAGGCGCCAGGTGGGGCTCGCAGCGTCTCAGCGCCGGGGCCTGGCGGCCGGGGAGAGGAGGGCCGGGGTGCCGCGCTGGCGGGCTCGAGCGCCTTTTCTGCCACGGCGTTTCCGCCTGGGCGGGGGGGCTCGGGGCCGGC